CTATTATTTTCAGTACATGAAAGTTGCTTTTAAAGTTGTATTAGCTTTGTAGAAGAAAGAAATTTCAAAATTCTTCAGGATTCAGGTTCTTTTCACAGGCAAGATTGCTAAAGTAATAGTAATAGTTAAGTAGTGTTTGTAAGGCTAAAACATGCCTTTTAAAAAGAAACTGTTACTTTAATTTTCAGTACTTAGAATGGCGACTTCAGCTTTTTTCACCAATTGGTTCTTTTTGTTTTAAATGAAATGTGAGAGGGAGTCTGATTTCATTAGCACTTCTGGGGCACAGAAGCACTGTGTCTCCTGCTGCGTTCTTTCTTAAATAAAAAGCTGCCATTTCATTGATGGGGAGCTGAAGAAATAGTTAACATCCACTCCTTCAGATTCTTTCTTCATTCTGAGCAGTAGCACTTAAGTGAGCGTGATCAGATCAGAACATGTCCTTGAGCTCTGTACTGCATCTTTAAGAATAATGAACATTACTGGGGTAGGTAAGCTCTTACCTTCCTTTGGGAGCACTGTATAAGTTGCTTCCATGCCTGCATGGATGTGGTCAGTAACGTGACAGTGCAGTAACCACCTTCCAGGGTTCTGTGGGATCATTTCCACTGTTTGAAATGTTCCTGGGAACACATCGAAGACATCTGCCCGGTAAACTCCTGTTTGCTTCAAGATGAGAAGAAACCATCATTGAACAGCGTGCCAGAACCAGACAGCAGTCCCATGAACTGTTTTTTAGTCATGCTCACACCAAGTCTTTTAATCATACCCTGTCTGAAATGACTGTATGCCATTTTTTTCTTTCTTTTTTCTTTATTTGCTTTACCTCACATTCTTAGCAAAAGTGAACGGAAAGGAACTGTTACCTTATAGTCAAAGCTGTGGCCATGGAAGTGTGCTGTGTGAATATCTATTTCGTTGCCCATTGCCATCAAATACCAGCTTACTTCATCTCCAACATGCATAGTCAGACCATGTAAATTTCCAAACACTTTTCCATTAATGGCTAAAAGGAGGGAAAGAGAAAACAAGATTTTGTTTCTCATTGCTCTCAAGGCTTTAAAAGAGAATTACAAGCTACAGTTAGGCAAAAAGGAACCGCTTTGAGTGGTATATAAAAATAATTTTAAAAGATATTAATGCATCGTTATCAAAAAGAAAGGACAGCATATTATGAAATGAGTCTGATTATGTCTTCCAGAGTTAACTGGAAAGCAAGAAGCAGTTAAAATGGAAGTGTGCTACCGTGCACCACTACTGAAGCTTCTAAAAGTCTGCATTTCCTGTGGTGCCTTGTAAAGGATTAGCTTTATGAGGACATGCTTTCAGGATACACATTACATTACCAACCTATTCAGATTAGTTACCTGCTAACGTCAACATTTCCAATTTACATTTTAATCTTTTCATTCTCAAAAATGCCAACATGGAACTATTGATTTTCATATGTTAAAATATGTAATTCAGTGGCAGGAGCAGTAAAACAGTGTAAAGCAGTGAGTGAAATTTTTCTGGCTTTCTACCCTATAACTGGAAAATCAGGGAGGAGGAAAGAGTCCAATTTATATATAGTAATTTCAGATACATGATTTTATAATGTCTCCAACGTTACACCAACTAAGTTAGGAAACATACCATGCATTTTGTTACTTTCAAGGAATTCCTCATTTTCTTTGCTAACAAGGTGTGGGTTGGCAGAATAGGTTGCAATGTTTTCATCCAAATCCTAGTCATGACTCACTTTCATCAAAAATCATAAACAGAAGAGCAAAATGAACTTTCTTTCTAGAATGAGACGATGGTAAATAATGTTTAGGACACACAACAAGTGTGCCTATTAATCCACTGTAAGTGTCCTGAAATTACAAATAAAAAATAATTATTAGTGGTGACTAATGCTAGAAGTGTATATAAATGGCAGGAGAACCAGGGAACAAGAACACCAGAGAGTGCGACTTTCAAATTCTGCTCTGACTTCACTGCATTATTTAAGAGATCTTTAAATTCAAAGGTAGTGGGGGAGCAACCTGACTGATAAAGCAGGACTTTCAAACCTCTTTCCTTTTTGCTGTAAGTTTATCTGTGCTGAAGTCGTGAACAAAACTCTTCAGACTGATGCTAGAAGTATACCTTAATGATGTCCACTGTTGAATGGTATGCCCATGCAGTACAGTGTGGATCACCTCTCTCAGAACTAGATCTTGCTGATATTTTCCAGGTGTACATTTTAGTTTCACCTACATTAAACACACATTGATGAAAGTTAGAAGCTTGCAGATGGGCGCACAGAAAGAAGTCCTGAAACAAAGTGTTATCTCCATTTACAGCTTATATTGGTCTTGATCTTCCTCTTCCCAAGTTGTTATTTCCCTTCTGCATAATCCCGATACTTCTTGCCAGTGTTCTATGTGGCTGCCCTATTTAGAATCACAGAATGGCTTGGGTTGGAAGGAGCACCAAGGATCATGTTCGACCCCTGTGCTACAGGCATGGCCACCAACCTCCAGATCTGGTACTAACCCAGGTTGCCCAGGGCTCTCTCCAACCTAGTCTTCAAAACCTCCAGGGATGGGGCATCCACAGCCTCTCTGGGCAGCCACTTTGTGAAGAACTGCCCTCTGACATCCAATCTAAAACTTCCCTCCTTAAGCTTAAAACCATTCACCCTTGTCCTATCACTGTCTACCCAAGTAATAAGTTAATTCCCCTGCTTTTTATAATCCTCTTTTAAGTACTGGAAGACTGCAGTGAGGTCACCCTGCAGCCTCCTCTTCTCCTGGCTGAATAAGCCTAGCTGCCTCAGTCAGTCTTCACAGAGGAATTGCTCCAGCTCTCTGAGCATTTCTGTGGCTCTTCTCTGGATCCTCTCCAGCAACTCCACATCTTTCCTGTGTTGGGGGCCCCAGACCTGAACACTGTAGGCCAGATGGGGTCTCACGAGGGTGAAGAGGGACTCATCTTCCTGACCCTGCTGGCCTACTGATGGAGCTCCTCTACTGCCCCCCGGCTCATCTGATGGAGCCCAGGATACCATTAGCAATGACATGTTTTACCATATTTAATAGAAATACACAGAATAAGTTTTAAAATAATAGCTAGTATAAGCTATGCTTTCCTTCTGTCACTAAATCTACTTTCTTTCACAAAAGACATGGCCAAGTTGTGTCAAAAAAATTACTGATATGTCAAGGACTCGACATATAGCAGTAGCTATGAGGGGCATTTTAACTGTACAAATAACTCAGCCATAATCAGCATCAAAATTGTAAGAACCTGAGGTTAAAAACAACAAACTAACAAATGTCAAGTCTTTTCTGCTGCCCTAAAAGTAAAGCTTTGCTAAACCTTACTAGAAGGCTTGATGTAGAAATAACATAAGG